CTGGGTTTTTTGTTAATGCGAAGACAATATTTCTATATCTCTTTATGTGTTACACAGACAGACTATTTTGCAGACTGTTCTGACTGACTCTAATGTTAGATTGAACAAACAAACTGTAATTTATATAATAACTTATCCATGCCTGTACAATTGGTATGTTCCTGCATAAACAGGAATAAATATATATATATATTACGTTGGCTCAGACCACTACCTCGTACAAGGAACAATCCAACTCAAATTAAAGGCTTTCAGAGAAACAGGAACCGCAGATAGACCACAAGCCAAGTTCAACACTCAAAACCCAAGGGACCAGGATACAAAGGATATCTTTACTGCAAGCATAAAGGACAAATCTGAGACACAAATCAACATTAGCGAAGAGGTCAGCGTCGAAAAGCACTGGGACAACCTGAAAGCGGTATGGAGCGAAACCTGCATGGAAGTTCTGGGCAGAAAGAAGAGACAGGACAAACCGTGGCTCACTACGGACACTTGGAGGCTAATAGAAGAGAGAAGGATGGTGAAACAAAAGATTATCCAGTGCACCGGCGAGCAACAGAAACAGGAGTTGAATGCAAGCTACAAGACACTGAACAAAAGAGTAAAGAAGAGTGCCAGAGAAGACAAAAGAAAGTATTATGAAACCATGGCAAGTGAAGCAGAACAAGCAGCAGGCAAAGGAGATCTCGCAACACTCTACCAAACAACTAGGTACCTCTCAGGCAAAAATTCGTCACAAATTAAGCCAGTGAAGGATGACAATGGAAAGTCAATCACCAAAGAAGTGGAGCAAAGGAAACACTGGGCTGAACACTTCAAAAGACTACTAAACCGACCGCCACCTTCAACGCGCCCAACAATACCAACAACGGAAGCAGAACTACCAGTGAACATCAACTCCCCGAGGAGAACAGAAGTCCTGAAGGCAATCAAGATGCTGAAAGCTGGAAAAGCAGCAGGACCAGATGGAATCCCAGCAGAAGCGTTGAAAATGGACCCAGAGACAACAGCGGACTTGATGACGCCACTACTGGAGAAGGTGTGGAAAGAAGGCAAAGTACCCGAGGATTGGAAGAAAGGATACTTATTCAAACTACCAAAGAAAGGAGACCTAAGTCAATGCAAGAACTGGCGCGGAATTATGATCCTGTCCATCCCAAGCAAAATACTAAGCCGCATCATCCTGGAAAGGATCAAACATGCCCTGGATGAAAAACTTCGACCGGAACAAGCTGGATTCAGGAGAAACAAGTCATGTATTGATCAAATCGCCACACTACGGATCATCATTGAACAAAGTGTGGAATGGCAGTCACCTCTCTATCTCAACTCCATCGACTTTGAAAAGGCCTTCGACAGCGTCGATCGAGAGGTGATTTGGAAACTACTTCGCTACTACGGGGTGCCGCCGACAATTATACATCTCATCCAACAGTTGTATGACAACGCTGCATGCCAAGTAATCCACAACGGGAAGCTCACGGAATCCTTTGAAGTGAAGACAGGAGTAAGACAGGGTTGCCTACTATTGCCAATGATTTTCCTGATTGCAGTAGACTGGATAATGCGGCAAACAGCGGGCAATCAAGAAACAGGCATAAAATGCACTCACACAAAGAACTTGGAGGATCTGGACTTCGCCGATGATATATGTCTGATTTCCCACAAACTGGAAGATATGCAAGTGAAGAGTAACAAGTTGGCAGAAGAAGCATCAAAGATAGGACTCCAGGTGAACATAGAGAAAACGGAGGTGATGAAGATTCCTGGCCAACACCAACAGCCACAGCAACAACAACAAACAGCAATCAGCATAAATGGAAGGAACCTGAAAGAAACTACCTCCTTTACCTACTTGGGAAGCATTGTTTCAAGTACAGGCGGAACTGACGAGGATATCAAAGCAAGGATCGGGAAAGCAAGGCAAGCTTTCATTACTCTCAAGTCTGTGTGGAGGTCAACAACATTCAGCGTCAAAAATAAGATCGGGATTTTCAACTCCAATGTGAAGTCAGTACTACTATACGGATCAGAGACTTGGCGTGTCACAAAGAGCACCTCAAACAAGCTACAGACATTCATTAACAGATGTCTTCGCTCAATACTCAAGATCAGATGGCCAGAATAGATCAGCAACAAAAATCTCTGTGAGCGAACCAACCAGGAACCGATTGTGAAACAAATAGGCAGGAAGAAATGGAGATGGATTGGCCACACTCTGAGGAAACCATCAAGTGACATCACTACACAAGCCATTGCTCGAGTGGAACCCGAAAGGGAAGCGACGAGTTGGTCGTCCAAGGGTGACCTGGAGGAGATCATGTGAAGAGGAGATGAAAACGTGTGGGCAGACTTGGAGCCAGGTGAAAACTCTAGCAGAGAACCGAACGCAATGTAGACGCATGGCTGAAGCCCTATGTTCCTCTAGGAACTAAAGGAAATAATAATAATAATGAACCTTCACTTATAGGGTTATCTGGGCTTCGAATACCAAGAGCATGATGGCGGAACACAAAATGGGCAGCAGTTAACAAAAATGTGCACTCAAACCAAAATCATACAACAGTCCGAGGTGAACTAAAAATGGTCTAATCGACACGAAAATGTAGGATGGTGTATATAGTACAAATTCAGCATTTGAAAGTACAATGCTAGACGTGATGGTAATAAGCAGAAATATGCGAGAGGAAGAATAATAGCACGGAGAGTGAATCCATTCGTGACACTGAGAACGATGCTGAGCTAAATCATACAAAGTTTCAAGCCACTGGTTATTTAGCATCTCGAGGACCCTGGTCAGGCAGTCTATCCCTCATTTCCTGGCTCAAACCACCAGTCAAAGACTTAATGGACTGATGCCAGTTTTGGATTTGATTGCCTCTAACTCTTCTCCACCCTAGTACTATATCAGTTGACATTGCTTAACGAGGAAGGCGGTGGCTCATAATGCACAACACGCATCGTTGCCGTGTGAACTGAAGTATCCTCACAATCTCGTCGATCGACCTGTAATTCTTACCCGACAGTCTCCTCCGAACTTCGAGTTCTCCTCAAAACATTTAATGTGGCATTAAAGAACAGTCTTGTTCACATGAAAGACAGAATTCCAAAAGACTCACATTCTCAGTGTGTCTGCAAGATGATATATCTGACGATTTGATGGAATAGACATCGGACAAACCTCTCGAGAAATCGAAGTCAGAAGAAATCAACACCATATTGCTTCTATCCGACCACTGAGAAATCTGGTGGAACTAGAAAAGCCTGAAACGTTGTCAGCCAAGGATGTCTACATGCTATGTAATCAGACCACAAAACTGATTTCCATAATACTGAAATCATTTAGATAAATTTCAGAGATCACAAGAAACCTCTCATATCAGATGCACATCACATTCTTCGAATGGAATCCACACTGTCTGAGTGGATATGACGGACTCAAACATAATGTGACCTGTTCCTAACACACGACTCGCCACTCACGAATCCTAGTTGACTATCAGTAATTGGAGATACTACTCGACTCTAGTGTGAGTTTCGCTTTCACATCTGATATGGTTGATCGTGTAGACCACGTATTTTCAAATGAACACCATTCATTCAGGAGCTATCCGAGGGGTGTCGACTGACCACTTAACCAAAATATATAAATACATATTCGAATAATGAGTATTTGTTATATACATTAATGTTTTGAACGACTTCACAAGAGATGTTGATGAGTTAATGTCACCTGGTGAGAAGCATTGGAATCCAGGAGGTATTCGGTAGCTGCTTCCTCCCAGTTTGGGATTCTTCATCAATATCCACCCACGAAATCATCAAAGGTGGAACCCAAAAGCTACAATTTACAGGGGTCATGACGATTCATTGCATTCCATCGAATCTCTCCAATGGACTGTGTATTTGTCGTCTGCATACAGCCGAAGCGTTTGGCATTAGAACTACTGAGGCTAAACTGCACAACATTCAAAAGAGGTCCGTACATCCACTCCCTGCCTCTTGGTCAGTTAAGACTCTTACAAATGATATTTTACTAGCACCACCCCTGATATATATCGTCTATTTCTTATCACCTTCATTCAATCCTCCCTTAGGCTTATTGCATCTTCATTGTAACTCAGTGTATCTCCTAACTTTACAATCTCACACTACAAAATCGAAGCAAAGTAATTGTAAATATATTTCAATAGTTTACACAAAATGAGAAGTCTTATATCGTGGTAGTGTTTCAAGCAGAATTACTGTCCATGATCACACTAACTGTTGGAATTGTTTTCTTTTAATTCGTACATTTTTTAAATTTGTAATCAAATATATGTTGGTATATATGGATAGTTAATTTTTTGTTCGTTCAGTTTTGTGTTTTCGGAATTCTATTCCAGATGACGCGAAATTTCGGGTCGATGACAAGGGTAAAGATCTTACCCAGCCAGCTAATAAAAGAAGAGGGAGTTAAACAACCAAGAAATTTGTTGAAAGAGAAATCCATCAGTAATGAGACTTTCAATAGTTCAAAGCCGATTGGATCTCATGTAGCAGATTTCCATGGTCTGGTGAAGATATACAGAGGGGAAAACCAGCTTGGACCAGAACTGCCTATTTTAAATTCCTCATATCACAAATTTACACAGTGGCTATGTTTGATGCTCCAGGAAAACACTTTTCAATACATACACTTCATGATTCTCTCAAATTTGCACAAAATTATTGCTCAACTGGATCCCGATAGTAAGCACTCTTGTGAAGTATGGAAAAATATAACTGTACAGTTTTTTGTTAGATGTTAAAAATGGAAACATCCTACATAGCCCCTGTTTGAAACGATTCATTGTAAAATATACATAACTTCTGAATGCATTCTAAAATACAGTGGGCTGCTCGACGCTTCCTCTTCTCACTGATCCATACCGCCGACTTGCTTCACTATTAACCATGTTGTATACTTTGGATTTTTGTTAACTTGAATCTACCTTGACAGCATACTTCCATTTCACATGTGTAGTTACCTATCAATTCCCCTCACTTCTCTTCAGCATTTTTTCTCCATTACTACTACTACTACTACTACTACTACTACTACTACTACTACTACTACTACTACTACTACTACTACTACTACTACTACTACTACTACTACTACTACTACTACTACTACTATTACTACTACTACTACTGTGGTGAGAGCTGTCTACTAGCCAAATTGGTAGACACTAATTTCCGTCAATGTTTACCTTCTAAATATTGGTCGTGAGAAAATATGAACAAAGACTGATTCAAAAACCAACCACAGCAGACTTTGCGTAGGCGGATGCAGTTAACATATAGATGATCTGACATTCAAGAAACAGTCACAAAGAGATGAAGGATTAACTTTAAGTGAGAAACAACGAATCAGAAGACTGTGTTTGTTTGCTCAACTAATCTATAATAATGTACATGAAAATATATAAATATGCCTTGATTTCCTTAATAAACGATCTGTTGCCTGGCCCTGGTCTTCTGTTGTTACAGTACTACTACTACTACTACTATGAGTAGCAGCAGTAGCAGAGTCGTTATTTCATCCTTCATGCAATTAATTTCGCTCAGGATGTGTGCAAATCGAAAATCACAATGTGTGTTGAGTGTCGTTAACCTCAGTGAGCAGTCTTCAAACTATCTATCTTATGATTTGAAATCAGACAGGTTAAAATCTTGTTATTTAGTCCTATATGGTGTATACATATGTTGAATTTATTTCTGTTTTTGTTTTGTTTTGTTTTTATGCAGTTTCGTTTTGTCTCAGTGCTATCAAATCTAGATGTTTATAACTGTATTGTATTGATTCGAATGCTTGTGTGTAATTGCATGTGGCATGTGAGTGGCAAAGCTGAACTATTCTCTGCATTTCTTATCCTATTCAGATCATCTAATCTAGATTTCGCTGGGCTTTTGTGCTTCACCAGTCCAAGTAATTCCGTTCTACTATTTTCACCTATGTATTCGATCTGACAACCATTCCACAAGGGCATTAGATAAACTAAATTTCCTTGTTCAACTGGCTCCATAGAATCCGTTAACTGACAAAGCTCGTTTCTGATTGAGTTTGTGAGTTTGAATGCCAGCCACTTTTATCCCAGTATTGTTAGCGATTCTCTGTTAGGTTTCAGAGATTCCCTGTTTGTATGAGTTTACTACTGATGACTTAGATTTCTCATTGTTGGTGTTTTCATCATTCTCTGCATGTTTCTCATGCATATCCTCATTGTCACTGTTGCTATTATTATTATTATTATGATTATTTGAATGAAAATTTTGAAAACGATGAGTCGATACTAAACCCTCATCCAGCGGTCTACGCCACTAGGTGCGGAGCTAATGGAAAATCACCAAGACTCGTTTATATCAAAACTAGCTACCAGTCACTCGTAGAAAACGTTCAAATAATGACCCCTCTTCGTAGTAGTGACCATGAGATAATCGTGTTTCATCTGATTCTTTGCAGTAGCTTACAGCAGGACGCTACGCCATTCTGTGTGCACTATAGCAATGTCGACAAAACCAGAATGAGAAAACTTTCTTCCGTCCTACAGACAATTTATTGTCCGCTCACCTAGCCGATTTCTAATGTCGCTAAAACTGCATAAATATGATGTGTTCTTGCTTGAATAAGGTGCGTTAACAATTATCTTGTCCTCTGTCGTAGCAGTAGGACTATCTATCAGTCGCATTTACAGCAATTTGACTGTGCTGAGAGGATGAAACTGGACTCCGAAAACTACAATCAACCGCAGACCTCGAAATAATAATAATAATTATACTGACAGAAACCTGACTGCCCTCAACTATTTTCGACGAGAAAGTTAGTAATAGCGATATTCTTCAGATAAGGCGAGACAGGGACCACAATGAAGGCAGGAAGCAAAGAAGTGGAGTAGCTATATACGTTGACAAGCTGCTCAGATGAGAACAAGCAACCAATCCACCACTTACTCAACATCCATACTCGATTTGGCGACATTTCACCATGAGCCAATCAAATATTTATCAGGTGGCTTGCATCGACCGTCCACACCCACCTCCCTCCATGCAGCGGAACACAACCAACTACTACTCAACACCATCATAGGGAACTCGGCTTATCACAGAATCACTGTAGTTGGAAAGTTCAATGATCCAGCCCATAACCATTAGTAGGGGAATGCTCAAGGAAAATTTCCTTGAAATGTCCTACAATAACACAATTCGAAATACCTGATTGACTGAGAAAGTTCGAGACGACACTAGGTGGGTCCCTTATGGAGTAAACCACTTCGAATTTCATCATCCAGATTGTAAACAGTCGACAGGAGCCACAAACGAAATAAGTCGGATCCACTTCATCCTGCTTTATTACGAATATGTCTTCCAATATGTTGAAACAATTACTTCTCAGCTAACCATTAAGATTAACATAGTCGCACCGATTCACACTCACAAGTTCAACCAACATGTGACTTGCAAATTCAGGGTCTATGGAAAGCATCCATGCTTTCAAAAATTGACCAATCACATGCGAAATGAATAGGCTTAGACTAAGACTTATTCTAAGGCTCTGAATTAGTTTTAGTCTTAAACAAGCTTAAACCAATCTGTTGGTAAAGTCAGCAATATTCACGTCTGTCGAATCGGATGAGGGAAATTACTGTCCAGGCAAAGTGAGGTTGGTACAGTTAACGAGTTGAGCTGGTGTACACCCTAAATCTTCCTTGATAGTAGATCGAGGACCCAGTAAAATCAAGGGTAAGTATTCACTCCACTTAGATTTATCGTTCTGTGCCATCAGGGAGCTTTTCAGTTGTCTATGGAATCTTTCCACAAGAACATTCGCTGCCGGATGATAAGCTACCATGGAGATATGTTTCACTCCAAGGAGTTTCATTAGTTCACGAAACAGAGTTGATTGGAATCAAGTGCCCCAGTCAGATGTAATAGTAGTTGGTACTCCGTAATTCGACACCCAACGGTCAAGAAAAACTAAAGCGACATTCTCTGAGGATATATCGTTGATCGGAAATATGAAAGTCCATCGAGTAAATCTGGCGATAGCTAAACTTTCGGGAGAAGTTCAGAGAAGGGCAACAAAGTGGGTGACGGTTCTTCGAAATTAACCATATGATGAACATCTGAAGACATTAGGTCTTATCACACTCAAGCGTTTACATGCAATTGGTTGTTGCGTAATTTGATGACATACGGTGCAAGAATTCCTTCACTTCAACACTTACAGATGTTCGTGCAAGCCTTGCAGTTGTTGAGGCACTGTCCCCATGACCACTAGTGAAGAAGGAGAGACGGATGCAGTAGCAGTAGGAATGGAATCAGCATAAGTATCAGGGTTGGTGGTAGCAGTCATCGCGCGTAGGACATTCCTGCTCTCACCTGTTGACGTAATATCAGTAATCACGGAGTTATCCGAGAGAGTAGTAGATTCAACTGGTTGACTTGTTGCCTGTGAAGAAGTCGGAAATCGAGACAAACGTCTTCGCCGCCCTCCAACTCTCAAATGAGCATTTACATGCCTAAGTAGATGACGCTTTCGTATAAATGATCTTTTGCATTCATCACAGACAAACGGTCGTTCATTAGTATGCCCACAAATGTGTTCAATCAATGATCCAAAGCATTCATATATCTTACTACATGCTTTCCATGGACATGTAATGGATGGTTTCGCATTCATATGCGCAATAGGAGGCATTGGAGGTGGAGGTGGAGGATTCGGTTTCGGTGGACTCGCGTGGGGGAGAAGACGACATTTTTTACATCTACATGTATTGATTTGCATATCGACATGACTGGGTGGCTTCGTCAGAGTATTTGATGAAGGGATGGTTGTTATTGTCGTGGTGGTGGCAGTTGTTTGACCTAAGTTTCGTGGACTGACAACTGTTCGCTCACCACCCACACCAGAATTCTCTCCATTCAGAACATGCTCCACATATTCAGCATATTGTTCATGTCGTTTAGCAGCTAAATGACCAGTGAGATGAGTTAACTCATGGAGTTTCGCCATATAGAATTGAATAAATTTTGCTCCACAATCAGGCTTTCGGCAGACATACCGTCTTTCGCCAGTATCTGATTGAACAGGTGCCTTCTGTCCATAAAATTTTGAGTAGACTTCACCAGAGCCAGGATGTGAAAATTTAAATCTGTCCAGCTCATTCACAGATTTCGTATTGAATACAGCTCTGGGATCGAGAATGTCACTCGGTGTTTGTTGTGTGTCAGTGTTTACATTGAGAAATGAATAATCGCCACTCGATGATTCACATGATGAATTCCGTAATACTGAAGTCGTAGGAATTTGTATACCACTACCACTACCACTACTTCTACTGCTAATAATACCAGGAGCTGTATTATTGTTTGCATTATTCCTACTGCTATCGTCTGTGGTATTTTCAAAGACAGATGGTGTGCAGCATATACTTCCAGGATGTTGATTATTAATAATATCCGTCGTCACACTACTAATTAAAGCAGCACTCTGAGCTAGAACACTCGTCAGGTCAGTAAGACTACTCACACCTGCTGGGAAGGTAATATTTATTGTTGTACTCGTGTCAGATAAACGTAAACAAAGTGTGGGTAAAGTGGAGTTGGAGGGAATACATGGATCTCGTAGACTTGTTGAGGGAGTACTGTCAGCTGGTAATATCGGTCGGAATGATACACTTCGAGGTGGAGCACAACGTGGTGTACTTGTTGATAAGCTTTGTAAAGTATCATTCGCTGGTAGGATATTAACAGACGCAGAAGATGACTGTGTGGTCAGGAATCTGACAGGAGTTTCATTCAACGTAGATTTGACAACTTCATTGACTAGAAGTGATGTGGAATTTGTAGAAGATATAGAAGGAGAGGGTTGAATTGTTGTCATTTCACCATCTTCATTGGTGCACTCCTCATAACATTCTTCTTCGATTTTCATTGACATTTGTTTTCCTCTCTCCTCTTCTTCTCCCCTTCGACAATCTTCTTCTCCTGGATCTGTAGGCTCAACAATCACCGTTTCATCATTTTCAAGCACTGGATGAAAACGAGAAGTAGTCGGAGAGTCCAGAAGACGTCTGAGTGTTTCACCTTCTGATTTCATCGATTTCGATGAATTTTGTGTAGATGTCATCTGAATTTTAGACAGGCTCATCGACGCTGGGATGAGCCTGGGTCT